GCGCCTTTGATTATATCCATATAGRAAGGGCGCTATATAAATCATAAATCATTAAAAGGTCCATGATCACATGTTTAAAACAATTGGCATCTGCAGTAGTTTCGCAGTAGCATTAAAATCTTGTCCCACAATTACATTACCAGCATCTGTTTTAAAGAGTCAGTCTACGACCATTACATGGCAGTTTTCTATTATTTTTAAAGGACACTAAGTAAAGAATACAAACAATTTATAATCAATTTTCTGCGATCAGAGTTTTGAATTCTGAGATATTCTAGCTATATAATTAGCTGAGGTTGGGGGACATAGCAACGGTAACTACGGGGAGTGGAAGCATGACTTATTCAGTCTCTTTTAATTTGAAAACGTTCTTTGTGTAGTTTCCTTATTCACTCATGCAGTATTTACGGCGAAATATTTTAAAAAGTCAAATTATAGRAAAAAAATCGGCTGTTTGTTGGCTGTTCAATATTAACGGCAGTATCGAGCATTTCAACAGGTCCGAGGGGGAGGTTGTTTTTACTGGTACCCATCTGCTGAATCAACAAAATCGATTTTCTATTTTGGTCCATTGTTTTGACCTTGTCCCTCATCATCAGTATCATCACCGTCCGCATCATCCATCATTATTATCATCATCATCACCATCAAAGACAATTTCATTTGTACCAAAAACATATTGGCAACATACAGTCGATCCCAAAAACGTTGTCCAAGTGAAAAGAGGTTTATAGGACAATAAATGTCACGTGTTCATTAAATATTCAGTTTTATGCGCGTGGATTTTTTTAATTAGCATACTGATGCAAAAGTAAATTACAGTATTGAAAACTGAATCTGAAAGATGCCGCGGGCTTTCTCGGATGATTTAAGTTGGAGAATGGTATACCGACATTTGTTTTATGCAAAAACATACCAGGGGATAGCCTCTAATCTGTTTGTAAGTCCTAAAACGTTCAAACGGACGTGTACACTAGTGGAGACATTAATCCTTGGCCCGTCGGTCGACCTCTTCAAACAGGAACACTTTTTCCGCATGAAGAGTATATCGTCATGGAGTGTCTTCTAGAACATCCTGAAATGCAATTGAATGAAATAGCGTCGAAAATATTCAATACAACTGGCTCTGCTTTTAGTGCCCAAACATTATGCAGAACGGTCCACAGGCTTGGATTCACGCGCAAGAAGGTATGGTACGTGCAGATTGGTTTGCTCATTACTCATTACTCAGTCTTGCAGAACGTTCTTTAAGTCTGGTAAGGCTTTCACTAGCTCAGAACGTAGCTCTGARACGGTCTCTAACACTGATAAAATGGGTAAACTTCTTACAACGTAGCTAGACTTCTTCTTGGAGTCCAAAACCCGAAATTCTAAAGTCGAAAGAACTYGTTTTGAATTACCCGCCGTCGACATTTTCTGCCACGCATGTGATGHAGCACGTTCAGATTCCTATTTCCACACGCGCGTAAAACTGAATATTTAATGAGACACGTGACATTTATTGTCCTATAAACCTCTTTTCACTTGGACAACGTTTTTGGGATCGACTGTATCCCAAGGGCTGATCCAGGGCGGATGGATTGGGATTGGGTGATTAGCCACCCATATATTTGGAGGTTAAAAAAGATGAACTGAAAAAATAACGTACAATCTAATCCTGGATCCTGGATGCTCCTTTTATAATATAGTGTATTTGACAGAGAGGGGTATTTTGGGCGCAGGGGAGGGGAGGCAAGGGGAGAGGGAATTGGAAAAGGAAGGAAGGAAAGCAGAAATAGGAGGGGGAAGGGTGGATAACTGAGAACAAGGGTGCTTACTATTTACCCACGAAAAAAACGGAAATTCCGGAAAGTCGGTCTACCGATTTATGGTACACCCGACTTATCCCGCTCTTTTCGGTTCTTCCGGTATACTTGTGTAGCATTTGTTGGAAATCAAAGTTTCCCGCTCTTTTCTTACCATAAGCAAACGAATTGAACCAGATGAATTGGTTTAAATCGGGTATTAAATCACCCCAGCTACTCGCCCTTGCCTTTATCTGTGACACTGGATGGCCTTACAACGAATATTAACAGATAGYATATACTGATTTTTTCGACTTGTGTGATAATGCGGAAATGACTTCACGAATGCGCAATGTTATTCACGTAAACTTCAAATTTCGAAATAGTGTTCTGAGTCCCATAATAGTTTTATGCCTGCGTAGAACGAGTCCATTTTCGAGCTATATCGATGTTATRRAATCATGAATTGAGAAATTATTTTAACATAGTGAATGTTGATCATTTTCTGTTTGCCCATGATTGCCCAATACAAAGGAATACAGTCGATTATAATGGAAATACGTTTATCAGAACAGAGCAAAATCAAAACGCTGAATTTAAAGCAAGCTATCGGGTGTACACCTGATTCGTATACTTGGATATCATCAGTATAGAATATATCAAAAAAAACTTATGGACGATGGCTCACGAGCTAGTAACGAGTGAGCAGGGGTCGA